GGGGCGCGCGTGTAGTAGACTTATTCCTCTGGCACACTTTACAACTGCAGACATACTTTATGCAGTCATTCTTCATCCCTGGCATGGTATACGCACGCATCAGGTTGGCTAATGTCTTTTGCCAACCGAAATGCCCTTCAGTATCGTGGCATTCCCCTAAGATTAGACTGCGAATCTCTTCGCTGTTGGGGACGCACAGGCGGTCAAACACATTAGTCTTCTCGAACAGCAACCCATCTGTAGTGCGGTAATCTGGTTCAGTCTCTGGGGCCTCTCTAACTCTCTTTAGGAGGTCGCTATAGATAGGGTCCTGTGCATACGCTTGCTTCACTTTCTCTTGCAGGGCTCTCCCTATATCCAGATAGTGTACTACGGCTCCAAAGTAGTCTGATCTCCTACTCAGAGCATCCGCAACTGCGTTGTACTTGCCCTTCACTGGCTTGAGCTCAAAGTCGAATTGGTTTATCTCTGCGGCCCACCTAGTCAACTTAGGTGTCATCTTGGCCTGAGTCTTTAACCATCTAAGCGTTTCGTGGTCCGAATACACTTTGAAAAGCCTCCCAAGCAGGTAGTGCTTCCAATGGTCTAAAGCCTGCCTGAGAGCGTAGAGTTCTCTCTCGTACGTGGAGGTAGCGACCTTYTCACAGGGCATCCTCGCTGACATGAACTCTACGGGTCTATAGCCATTGCCGTCATCTTGCTGCAACACGGCGCCTATCCCATACCAACTCGCGTCYGTGGTGACGACAAATGGCAAAGACGGATCTGCAACTTTGAGGACAGGATACTCTATTAACGCGCGCTTTAGCTTCTTGAGCGCAGACGTACAGTCTTTGTCCTTCTTCAGCAATCGGCGCAAGGGAGCGGCGATAGTGGAGAAGTTCCTCACGAACTTCCTATAGTAGTTAGCTAAGCCTAGGAACGACCGCAATTTTGTTAATGTGTGGGGCGTCGGCCAGTCTCTAATCGTCGCGATCTTACTGTCCTCTGGCTTGATGCCATCTCCGTCTAATACGTGGCCCAAGTACAAGACTTGCGTTTTGGCCCACTTGCACTTCTTCGCGTTGATCTTGAAATTAGCTTCTCTAAGCTTCTCCAAGACCTGCCTCAGATGACCCTGATGCTCCTGAAGGGTCTTACTAAAAACTAAAATATCATCTAAATAGACTACAACAAACTTATCTAACCAGGGTCGAAACAGATCATTCATGCAACGCTGAAAAGTAGCTGGCGCGTTGGTTAGTCCAAAGGGCATCACTAGGAACTCATAATGCCCATATCTAGTCCGGAAGGCAGTCTTATACTGATCATCAGGGTGGACTTCTATCTGATGGTATCCAAACTTCAAGTCTATTTTGGAGAAATACTTGCAACCCTGCACCCGATCTAAAAGATCATCTATCCTGGGCAGTGGCTCAACATTCTTTACAGTAATCGCGTTTAAACCCCTATAGTCTATACACATACGAAGCTCTCCTTCTTTCTTGGGGACAAACAAAACTGGTGCTCCAAAAGGAGATGAACTGGGCCTGATCCAACCCTTCTCCAGGAGTTCGTCTAACTGCTTACGAAGCTCCTCTAACTCTCTAGGGGACATCCTGTAGACTGCACCCTTGGGAGTTCTACTGCCAGGCTCTATCTCTATCCTGTGCTGGATGGGTCGCGGCACTACTCCGGCCGGCGACTCAGTCAAATCTTTGAACTCTTCCAGCAGTTAGGCAATTGTTGGATCTGTGGAACTATCCTTTTCCTGGGCTTCAGTGACAGGTCTAACATAGACTACAAAGATCTGTTCCTCTAACTGCTCCTCTTTTACTAATCGCGCGAACGCGGGAGCATTGAGACAGCAATGTGCCAAGGTGTTGTCTACACCAGACACATGGAACAAGCGGGCCGTCTTAACCTCGCCTGACGGACTAGGGAGCCTACACTCATGCTCTCTCAAATGGAGTGTGGCCCCTGCTGCCTCTCCCCAATCCATTCCTAACACTATATCGAAAGGAAGACCATCTTGTACGAGGAGAGTCAAAGAATGGAGGACTTTCTCCACTTTTCCATTCTTCTCTAGGCGAAAGTACGCTTGGACTCCCTCTACGTAGTCCTCAACGCGCATCGTGCGGTTGTCTGCAAGGACACAGACTATGGGGTCTACTAGCTTCTGGACCTTTAGTCCTAGCCTCAGTTTCTTCAGCGCCCTACGGCTAATGTAACTACGGGTAGCCCTTGAGTCTATAAGGGCCCCTACTCTACTTCTGAACACCTCTACATCTACCAAAATCAGTTGTCCCTTACTCTCCCTTTTCATTTTGGCCCAGGTTGGCATCCTCTCCTTTAACTCTTCTGCCACACCTGTGAGGGACGTGCCTAAGGAGACGCTAACACAAGCAGTCTCTGGACA